GGTGTTTTCTTCCATCGGTCTTATGGGTAACACAATTCTCATCGCTTCCATCATTAAGATTAATTTCTTCCACATTAAATCTTTTGAGATATTTCTCTTCGGACTCGCTGCAGCCAACTTGTGGGAGATTGTCATCATAAATATCTATGACATAATCATCCTTCAGACTCCCTCCACCGCCACGGGCACTTGGTCGTGTTATTTACTGGAGTTCATAACTGTTATTGGTGAAATTAACAGCATCTTCTTCACTGTCCTCATCTGTATCTTTCGCTACCAGAAGCTGAGAGATGTAAAGGCGAGGGTCAACTTCCCACTCTTCCTGGATAATATCAGATCAGCTTGGACGGTGAGCGGCATTTCTGTGATGCTCTCCGTGCTGCTCAGTGTTCCGATGTTTGTCATCGACCAGGAGAGCAAAGCGGAAAACGTCACAAGAAACAGCAGCATGTGCCCTCCAGACTTCTTTCACTGCACTCAAAATCATTGTCCAGTGTTCAACCGCACATACAAATACCTGTTCATCGTCTCGTGTCACCTGCTGCCTCTGATTATCGTCACAGTCACCAGCTGCCTCATCCTCACAGTGCTGCTGAGCCAAAGGAAGGCAGTGACACCAGCGGTTAACGAGACTGGGTCAAGTCAGTTCAGCAGGAAGAGTAAAGATACAAAGATCCAGCGGAGCACGATAGCTGTGCTGGGAGCCATGGGATTGTTCCAGGTGGACTGGACTACCTACCTGATTTTTCAGTTGGCTTTTAACCCGTATGAATTCCTTTTCTGGTCTGAAGCTCAGTTCTTTATCACAATATCTTATACATCCATCTCTCCATACATGTATATGATAGGGCATAACATGATCCCTCCCCACAGCTGTAAAAAAGGATAATTTAAAGATACAGTAAGTGATTTTGTTGAAGTTATTTAATAGAAGAAAAAAATGTTGTACTCTTGAATATAGTACATTGATCCTGTGTAATTGCTTCTTGTAAAAGTTTAAAGCCTTCTCATAAACTTAGAATTATGATGGACATCAGTGCGTTTTATATATGTGGCTAGAGACTGGCCAAATATATAGTATGCCATAGATACTTTTAGTTTATAGATTAAACTATATATGGACATTTAACATTTGTGTACATATATTTTTCATAATCTCTTCGTCATTATGTCTTTCTCCTTTTCCGCCACTGCTCTCTCTCTCCTCCTCCTTCCTCCTCACCTGAAGCCTTGTCTCCTAAACTGAAGTCAGGGCTCTAACAAAATGAAAATCCTTATTTATTCCTGATATCGTCACTTATTACTTATTGTCAGCAGATCAGACATGTGACCCTCCCATATCCACACGAGCCAGCTAAACAACAACAAAAGCTAACACTGTGCCAGCTAATGTTAGGCTCGAGTGTGCTAAAAATCACACTTTCCCTCTGATAAACAGTTTGAATCTAACAATATATGTATATTTGAATATTTGTCCTACTTTGGCCACCATAGTTAGGATTATGCACTTGAATTGGAAGGGGTAAGAAAACAGTACCCAACTGACTGCAATCTGCAGTCTACTGACATCTAGTGGTGGGATTTTACACGATTTACCTTTAAAGCTTTTCTTTACACCACACTTGTTTCTGACTTGTTGAAATTGAGGTCTTCTTTTTCTGTAAGAATGTTATAAGTGTAAGAATGTTATAAGTGTAAGAATGTTATAAATGTGACAATGTGACAATATTAGGCTAACAAACTTTGCAAGTTCACAGGAAGAAGAGGGTGATAATTTAGAAACTTGTATCACTGAATCCATAGAGCATTGTCTTAGAGTCTGAATTTACATCTACTATAAAAATGAATGAAAATTCCTTTGTTATGTTTTGTCATTTCAGTGTGATGTAGATTAAAATAGTACTTATCTTTCTCAGTGATGCATACTTTGAATTCTCTTCACAGCAAATTTCTTTTATGGTAAAAGTACAAAAGGACCATCATTCCTTGGAAAAATGCTAGCTGATAAACTGTCTTATTTTTCAGTGCAATTGAGCACATGGCAGCTGTGTTTGTATATAGCCATTAGTCTTGTGCTCAAAGCAGCATGGCCTGTATTTACAGTACAATAGGTTGAGTGAAAAAGCAATTCTGTGCCTCATACCAACTCGCACAAAGACAGCTGCAGTCAGCGCAACCTGTCATTTCATGTTTATAAACCGTAAATACTACACTATGAGCATAGCTTGATTTGTGATATCAGTTTTAAAAAAATAAAAATCAGTCTCCCAGTGAAAGTGAAAGTTGTTATACATAGTACATAGGTCACATATTACTCATAGTGACCAATATCACCTCGTTGTGAAATGACACTAACACTGTACTCTAATTTTATTATTATATAATAGGACTATACAACATATGTGACCTTTTACATTTTCCAACCCCCCACTTCAACCCCGTGACTTAATTTAGATCTTTAACGTAATCCTGACAAACTATGGATCACCAGGTCTGCAATTTTGATTTAGACGTAAATATTTTGCCGTTTCAAATTGAATTTAATGTGGGTTTGATAGTCGTGACAGAACTGACAAAAGCCGTACGAATCTGTGCTCTGGTAATTGTCTGTGCTGCCACTGCTGATTACACGTCAGTGACATACATTGAAATTTGGAGGCTAACGTGCGTGCTGATTTACTATTTTTTAAAAAGACCCACTTGATACTTGTTTTTCAGGTGTCACAAGATTAGAGCAGCGTGGGCATTTTTTATGCTCAATGTGGAAAATACTTAACCGATAATTAAAATAAAAATATGAATGTCGCCCCCTTTAAACGTGCCCGATACACGGAGGCATCTTTACATGTGCACTTATTATGAACCTTTGATTTGATTTCCCCCCGCTGATCAACCCCCTGCCTTACGTTTAATGCGTAATAAACTGTATATTTGCAGGGCACTTGTGGTTGGTGGCGAAGCACTTTGCAATGTTAAAGTCATTTCACGAGCCCGTGCACGACCTCGCGTGGGAGATTTCGCTCTATGTTGTGTCTCCGTGTGGACTATTAGTGAATACAGTCTCATTTTTGCAAGTACCTGAAGTATCCATTTGTCGCACACAAAATAAGTGCACGTGATTTCGATTTGACGGGACACGCGGAACATCACCACGAGAGTTCCACGTGGAACACAAAAGATGGGTCGTCGCCTGTGAGCCGTTTTTCACCCACTTCCTTGTTTGACCGCCCCGTTCGCTCTATACTTCTCATACCATAAATCGTTGATTCTTCTCTTCTTCTTCTTTTAACCCACACGGGGTTTTAAATCACAAGATTGCGTGGCCGATGATCTGAATGAGAGTCGTTCTTTTGTTTTGTGTTGTTGTGCTATTAGGTTGTTGTGAAAAGCAGAGATCCTGCAGAGCCCGACTGAAAATGTGATTTAGTACTAATTTTATACTTAGCTATCCGCAGTGTCAACATCTGTAGAGCAGAGGTAAGTTTTGTATGGTTCATGTTTAATGAAACTTATGTAATATCAATTTAGAAAAATATCAGAATGAGGAAAAATGAACGGCTTTTCCCCCTCATTGTTATGTGCTATTATCTATTATATGTTTATACAAGTGTTATTACCGCAGCGATAAGGCATAACAACGCAGAAATATACTGAACACTTTTATTTATTTATTCAGTCACATACATCACTAGATTTACTGGCTCTCACACCTTCTGCTGATCAAAAACTGTGGCAGGTATCAAATCACCTTTGCATATGTTTTTGTTTTCCCCTTTTGGTACTAAACAGAAGTACACAACTCACATATGCATTGTGTGCAAAATCAGTTGTCTTCATGTTGATTTTGTTGGGCTAAAGGGTTGCCTTTGGTTTCCCATGTCTACGTCTTTCTAAGGTAAGCTGGCTTAACAGCACTTAATTTAGGGCGTGCAATTTACACAAAATGCGCATATAGACAACATATGCAGAGCACAGTAGGCTAGGGTGTAGCCTATATAGCCCTGCTGCCTGAAGATAAAGTGGAGGAACTGTGGAGGTTTTTGAGATTTTCACGTGGCTAAAATTCAGACATTGAATGCCATCTCCCTATTATTATGGAGCTTTTTATTACATTTTTATTACTGGGGTTTCCGGATAAGCTAGGACTAGACTTCCGGTATGGTAACATAGGCCTAATCTGTAAATTAGATTACTTTATGCTTAGATCAAGAGCGCTTGTTAAAAATATTAGCGACCCAATAGGGTCCAACGGTATTCTTCCAGCTTTTTTTAAATTATTTTTTACAATTCAATATGTGCAAATTCAATATGCTATTTTTTGTCCAAATATTTATTCTTAACTTCAACTCTTGGCCACCATCTTGTCCCGTAAACAAAGCCAATCAGCCTTGCTCTTTTTTGTAGACAAGGTCAATCAGTTAATAGTTTATGAGCCACTGATTTCAGTCGCACGTATTAATGTTGATACATAATACTACAAAGATACAAAATTACTTTCAGTGTTCATTTGTTTTTTTCGTACGTTTGCCACCGTGATGAAACAACTGGCCGGTCGTCCATTGGGAGCTTGCGCATTGGCTACTGGATCTCTACCACCATGGTGAACGTGTTACGTCACAGCTCGAGAGCACGGATGTGTGTGTGTGTGTGTGTGTGAGAGAGAGAGAGGGGGGGGGCAGAGAGGACAGTGTGTGTGTATGTGTAGCTGAGAGAGGGTGAGAATGGAAGTGTGATCGAAAAAGGTAGAAGAAGTCAAGGAAACAGACAGGAAGAGAGAGAAAGTGTCACGCCTTTGCTCTCAGTGCGCGAATCACACATCCTAAACATTTTCGCGCAAACTTGCAGAGAGTTGTCCCTACCGGCGCGCGGACCGCGCTCGAGGTGAGAAGGAGCGAGAGAGAAAAGAAATATTTATGTATATCTCCTGGATGGCGGACTCCCGCTTCCCTCGAGCTGGCGGGCCGGGAATCACGCGCCATTGAAGAGGGGGGTGGTGGGTGGAGGTGGGGGTGATAGTGTGCATGCGCTTTGGCTCCGCTGCGTGCACACTCGGGTCGGTCGATGTGAGCACAGTGGCGTGGCTCTCGGCCTCCATTTGCCAGTTTGTGTTTATGTTCGAGGGATTCTCCGAGGCCCTTTTAACGGCGACGGCGACGTGCAACAGTTGGAGCTTCGCCGCTGAACGATACTGTTGCCTCGCTGCGGTCGGCCACGAGGTACCGAAGCGACGCTGAAAGGTGAGGCTTTAGTGAAACCTGCAACTTTTCCAACTTGGTGAGTGGTGGAGCGGGCGGCCTTCCTTCTCCGCGGTGTGTGAGGAAGAAAGAGCTGCTGGTTTAACAACTTAAATTCTTAACGCCGCTTCTTATTGCAGGGAGTGAAATAGTTATACGGGAGTGACGCTGGGAGTTTATATTGTAAACATGGAGGTGATAAGCCGTTTTAGGCTCTCGTTGTGGTGTTTAACACCTTTAGACTTGAAGCATCCGTGTGCCGGCGTGACAATGTGATTAGGAAATTAGAGGAGGGGGGTTAGGACAACAACAAAAAGGGGTTACCTTTATAGTTTCTGGTGTGCCGTTGACCAAGATCATTTCTCTTGGCTTTCAAGGTGCAAAACGGTGTTAGTGGTTCATCCTTGTTTAAAACGTATGGCTGTTTTTCCGTCCGTGTCCGGAGCTGGAAGCCCATTGGTCAGTCATACCGAAGTGGTCTCCAGCAAGGCAAAGTCCACTTTTCCCCACAGGGCCACGAGAAATTGTTCAAATGATCTGAGAGCGCCTTTTGATTGTTTATATTTGTAGTATTCGTCTTGAATGGTGTGATGGTGGCTTCAGGGGTTCTTGCGTAAGAGCATTTAGCATGTAGTTTAAAATAATCTTATTAGTCTGTTAAAAATTTAGAAATATACGAGTTTTACTTCAGTTTTAGAGACAGAGCAGGTCTTTTAAATGTAGTTTTAAATTTTTAACCTAAATAAATAAATAAAAAAATACATAGAGATCATCAGACGAGCACACATAGCCCAAGGTTGTAAATAAATTATGTTCTCCCCCCCCCCATTAAGTTTCTAATTTAATTTTCAGGGTATTTGGGGACAGGATGTGCCTTTCTGAAAAAAAAAAAAAAAACATCCCTTGATCAGTGATTTTGTTATTTTTACAGTATGGTCCTGCTTAACACAAAGGGACGTTTTTATGATTCGTCCAGATCAGATGTCTTGAAATTTGGTCTGGTTTGCTTACAAAACATTCAGACAGCCGGCAGTCACAGAAACTAGTGGCCGGAGATTATTTAATTTTGACACGATATCAAGTCTTTACACTTAAGATGAGCTACATTCATCTCGAGTCTTCATTTGATTTCACAGTACTTGTGTCAGCGCCTTGAATAATGCCTGTGTCTTTAAGCAGCCCAGTATATGCTGGACTTGTCGTTTGTAACACTTACTGTTGCAACACCCTATAGCGATTAGCCAATTCTCAGTAGTGCTGAACAGAGATCTGCTGAGGTGAACATCAGTATATTTTGTTGTTGTTATTATTGTTTACTTCACCATTTTGTGTATGGTAAACAAACACATCTTCACATTAATAAAGTAGCTGAACAGTTTACGAGTCTTTTATCTCGCCATCTTTGAACATTTCTAGGGACAAACTGATGAGGTGCAGCAGATAAACATTGGCAACCGCCATTGGTTAATGTCTTCTTTTTTCAAGTATCAGTCAGATATCAGTCAGCAAGAGCAAAAACCACTGCTCTTTAGATGCATCGGTGCATCCCTGTTTGCTTTCTTTAAGTAAACACACATTTTCAGCGGTCTCTGAGTTGATCGGCACATTTTGGTTGTAATCATTTCTGAATGCAAAGTCTTTACATTTCTGGGTGCAGCTTTCCAGGCTCCTGTTTCCTTCCTGCCACTGTTTGTTCTGCTTGGATGAGTTGTAATTGCATCCTCTCTGATCATTGTTTATATTATATTATATTTGTTCTTCATTTTGTCTTTCTGTCTTTAAAATTAAATTCTGCTGGTTAGATTGTATCAATGTAATGCATGTTGTACCTCTGAATGCTGTTATAGCGTACAAATAACGCTGTCTTTTTTTGTTTGTGTGTCAGGTGTCTCATGCAGTGTGATGATCAGAGCCACCGGTGATGTCCGCCTTAGACTCTGAGCTCCCACCCATGGAGGAAAATCAGGCAGTGGAAGGTGAGAAGGGCACCTTGCTTAATGCGCCCTTCTCCGCTCCTCCTGCTTCCATTGCTTCTTCAGCTCCTCCGTTCCCAACCTTGACAAGACCTAATTTCACTAGTGATACAGTGATTGAGAGCAAAGCTGTCTCTATGGCGAGTAATGATTCCAGCGCTGCTGTTTCTTCACCTGCTGAAGCTAGCCCGGCTAAATCTGCAGTAACATCAGCTTCTACCTTAGAAGGAACTGTTGAAAAAAGCCCAGAAGCCTTGCATATAACATCCGCATCAGACTCCCTAACATGCACGAAAACGAGCATCGTCAATATGCCTGAATCAACACCGTGGTCATCTGCGTTGCCCGCGACCACATTTGGCAACACGGACATGGAAAAAGACTTTCCTGCGGTGCTGACCTTCAAAGGTGTCAGTGTCGTTTTGGAAAACAACAGCGTGTGGAAGCAGTTCTACAAGTGTGGGACCGAGATGATTCTCACTAAGCAGGGCCGACGCATGTTCCCGTACTGCCGATACCGCTTGACTGGGCTGGATCCCAATCAGCAGTACAGTCTGGTCCTGTCCATAGTCCCATCGGGTCAGTACAGGTACCGCTGGAGTGCATCCAGATGGGAAGTCACCGGGCGGGCAGAACATCAAAACCAAGGTCTGATCCGAGCATTTTCACACCATTACTCACCCTGTCGCGGCTCAGATTGGATGAACAGCTTGGTGTCCTTCTACAAGCTCAAACTGACCAATAACTCCCAAGACCAGGATGGTCATATAATCTTACACTCCATGCATCGCTACATTCCTAGGCTTCACATAATACCTGTTCCAGATGGAGGCATGCCCACAGCTGACAAGCCTGTATTTATGGGACATGAAAGCATGACCTTTACTTTTCCACAAACTGAATTTATGGCTGTGACGACGTATCAGAACTTTCGGATTACCCAGCTGAAAATTAATCACAACCCGTTTGCAAAGGGATTTAGGGAGGACGGGAACAACCCCCGTCTGAACAGAATCGCTAGAGAGGCTCAAGCTATTGTGAAGACGGAATACCAGCCCACAGTGATCGAACCTGCCGAACCCAGTGAAAACCAGGAGGAGGTACTGGATCTGAGGTGGGTTTTGTGTTGTTTCTTCCTTTGTTTTAACATTGGCAAATTGCTGTGTTGTCACAGCAAAGAGAAGTGCGTTTTTTGTATTGACACGCTGTTACTAACTATTATACTTTTATGTGAGTGCTATACTTTTGTGTTGTTGTGATGGAGTCTAGGTAATTATAAGTGCACGAGTAACTGAGCATTTATATTCTATGCATTTAATTGACCTAAAAATCCTACATGATCAAACGGATCACTTAAAGACAACTAAACTGACCAACCACTTTGTTAGTTACACTTCGTCAGTACTGGGTTGGACTCCCTTTATCCTTCAGAACTGCCTTAATTCTTCATGGCAGTAAGGTGCTGGAAACATTCCTCAGAAATTTTGGTCTATATTGGC